GGATCGAGAGTTTGAGAATTCAAGGTAACAGCTCTTGCCAGTGTTTATGTGAAGTTTATTGGCAAGCATGTAGTGGTGTACGGAACTTAGGACTTCATTGGCTTTTTTGTATGCTAGGTTTCTACTTTTTGCAGCGACGAAGATATTAGTGTCATCAGCAAATAGAACAAATTTAGAGTTCTTTTCAGAGTTTGTAAGATCGTTTATGTAAATTAAGAACAGAAGGGGCCCTAAGCAGCTCCCTTGTGGCACTCCAAAAAGCACAGGTAGAGTATCAGATATTTCATTGAGCACACCAACATATTGTTTACGGTCGGAAAGATAACTTTCCAGGAGTTTGTGTGCCCGTCCTCTGATCCCGTATGTGTCTAATTTTTTGAGAAGTATTGAGTGATCTATTGTATCAAATGCTTTACTTAGGTCGATAAAGATTCCTAAAACATGATTACCGGCTTTGAGTGATTGCTGAATGTGGTGAATTGAGTAGTTGAGTGCATGTGATGTTGAATGACCTTTTCTGAACCCAAACTGGCTATCGCACAGTATTCCCTGACTTGAGAGAAAACCATAAAGCCGTGAGTAGATAACCTTTTCAAAAATTTTACCAAAAATTGGGAGAGTAGAAATTGGACGATAATTTTGTAAGTGTTCTTCATTATCTTTTTTGTAGATGGGGCTAATTTTACCTATCTTAAGGATGGCGGGAAAGCATCCTGTTGACATAAGATTGTTGTATTGTATGGAAAGGACTGGGCTGAGAATGTGTGAGGCCTTTTTAATAACACTGATGGGGAAATCACTAGCTTTGCCATTTTGTAACTCGGAAATAATATGAGATATTTCACCCTCAGTGCAGTCTGTTAAGTACATCGAATTTGGGTTAGTTTTTGGTAAAAATTCAACAAATGAAAATAATACGTGCATGCGTGGCTTGAGCCGCGCCGCATAACAATTGATGAGTATAGGGGCTGGAGTACGCTTGTTTATAGATTAATGAATTGTTGCATTATAAATATTCAGAATTGACGATATATTATGATCTAATAGTAAATTTTACAAAGCTGGCTTTGGATTTAGGTAAGATTATAATTTATTTTTAAAAACCACGGATAGTTTTACATTTATTCCTATTTGTCGTATAATAATCATAAACAATTTAATCCTGTTTTCACGAATGCGCGGCTTTGGCGGCCAGTTATATTGACTTATACATAAAATTGAATTTTAAATAGAAATGTGAATATATTAAAATTTAAAACTTTCAAAACGGAGGCTTATAAATATTATTATATTATGATTGTAAAATAAAGGATAAAATTTAAAATTTGTTTCACTAAAATTTGTTTCATTAACTGAGGTACTAGAAAAACTGCCCTTTTTCCTCTAGAAACACACTTTTTTAAAGATTTTACTGGTGTATTCTCTAAAATCACCTAATGTTGTTCAATTGTTCAATTTTAGGGAGGGGCACCAAAAAGGGGGGGGGGGGGGGGGGGGGGGGGGGGGGGTTACACCACTGTATGATGACTGGATAGCCTCGAAAACGTCAAAAGAATTTAGTCCAGATGGAAATATTGATCTCCACACAAAATTTTCAAACTATCGTCGATGTCTTAAAGGTGTAATAAAAAGTCAAAAAAAGAAATATTACTGTACTAAGATTATGGATCATCAAGGAGACAGCAAAAAGACTTGGGAAGTTATCAATGAATTAAGAGGAAAATGCAAAAAAACCATAAAGCCTCAATTCTGTGTCGACGGAGTACGCATCACAGAACGTAGACTCATAGCCAACAAATTTAATGAGTACTTTGCCTCAATAGCGTCGAAATTGAATGAACAAGTTGATGGGGAAATGAAAATTGAGCCACTTCCTTCATTTGTTGAATTTTTACCAAAAACTAACCCAAATTCGATGTACTTAACAGACTGCACTGAGAGTGAAATATCTCATATCATTTCTGAGCTACAAAATGGCAAAGCTAGTGATTTCCCCATCAGTGTTATTAAAAAGGCCTCACACATTCTCAGCCCAGTGCTTTCCATACAATACAACAACCTTATGTCAACAGGATGCTTTCCCGCCATCCTTAAGATAGGTAAAATTAGCCCCATCTACAAAAAAGATAACGAAGAACACTTACAAAATTATCGTCCAATTTCCACTCTCCCAATTTTCGGTAAAATTTTTGAAAAGGTTATCTACTCACGGCTTTATGGTTTTCTCTCGAGTCAGGGAATACTGCACGATAGCCAGTTTGGGTTCCGAAAGGGTCATTCAACATCACATGCACTCAACTACTCTATTCACCACATTCAGCAGTCACTCAAAGCCGGTAATCATGTTTTAGGAATCTTTATCGACCTAAGTAAAGCATTTGATACAATAGATCACTCAATACTTCTCAAAAAATTAAACACATACGGGATCAGAGGACGGGCACACAAACTCCTGGAAAGTTATCTTTCCGACCGTAAACAATATGTTGGTGTGCTCAATGAAATATCTGATACTCTACCTGTGCTTTTTGGAGTGCCACAAGGGAGCTGCTTAGGGCCCCTTCTGTTCTTAATTTACATAAACGATCTTACAAACTCTGAAAAGAACTCTAAATTTGTTCTATTTGCTGATGACACAAATATCTTCGTCGCTGCAAAAAGTAAAAACCTAGCATACAAAAAAGCCAATGAAGTCCTAAATTCCGTACACCGCTACATGCTTGCCAATAAACTTCACATAAACACTGGCAAGAGCTGTTACCTTGAATTCTCAAACTCTCGATCCAACAAAGATGAAGATACACCCTCTGATCAAGAAATCAATATCAATGGCATACCCTTGGAGAGAGTACATGAAACTAAATTCTTAGGTGTAACAATCGATGAAGACCTAAACTGGAACGCACATAGAAGGAAATTAGCAAAAAAACTAGCCAGCTGCTGTGGCATGCTAAATAGAATTAAAGATAACATTCCCACATCACTCCATAAAGATCTATATCACACTCTGTTTGAAAGCTATCTTGCATATGGTATAACTGTCTGGGGAGGGGCATCTAACAAAAAACTTGAACCTCTGTTCAAAGCACAGAAAATGTGTGCCCGCATAATGTTTGGAGATAAAGAAGCATACTTGGATAAATTTAAAACTAGTGCACGATGCAGACCCTACGGGGAGCAAATCTTGGGCAAGGAATTCTACAGAAAGGAGCATACAAAACCCCTCTTCAACACTCATGAAATCATGAATGTGCATAATCTGTACTTCTACCATTGTATTAATGACATCTTCAAGGTCTTGAAATATAGAACCCCTATATCACTATACTCCCTCTTTGAAACATCTGGCAGACTTGGCAAAGAGACCCTCATTCTCACACCTAAACCATCAGACAGCTACATATACAGAGCAGGGAAAATATGGAATACAGTACGACAAAATCTCATGCTAACTACATTCACCTGTTATAAGCCCAATCACCTCAAATCATCCATAAGAATCACCATCACTCACACTCAAAAGGAAGGAGAACCAAATGACTGGAACTTAGCCTTAAACAGCGTTCGACAAAATTCAAAAACTTTAAAATTGACCTTGCCTAGATTACTTAAGCTTGAAAAAGCGGTAATATCTTAGCAAAATATAACTTGCAGCAGCCCCATACCTTGTCATGAACATAATATCGAAACTACCTCTGTGATCACATCTTTCTCTGGGTGCAAAATGAATTATATATATATAGGTTTATTAGTTTTATATAAATTTAAAAGTTCTATAGAAATTTATTATATAAGGATTATAAACATTTTGTTTGTGTGTTTTGTGTTATGCATTTTTATACCTATTTTAGAAGAGATTTTTATAGAATGTTACAAGTGCAGTAGGGTCAGTTTCAGACGAATTAAGCATAAATGACATCATTGCCATGTCTGAAGTGGTTTGTAAATGGGCCATTGTTAGCCCCAAGCGTTTTGGTCCCTCATTCCTGCCACTCAGCATAACCTACTGTAAAGTAGAAATTTTTCTAAGATAATAGAGAAACTGACCTTGTCTCACTAAATTTAACCACTTACCATAATTAAAATACTAACAACCAAATAAAGTTTTTAAATAATTATATACAATCACCAAAAATATTTCCTCAAGTTTACTTCTAGCTAACTAATTCGTGGTTTAAGCTCTTATTTTATTTATGATTAAAGGAATGTAAAATAAAACTTTTCGTTTCATTGAAAACTTTTCGTTTCATTGACTGGTTTGTTACATAATGTCTTATGGGCATCACGATTTTGTTATTTTTAAAAGTTCAAACAAATGTTGTGCTCGGGATGTTGCTTATTATTTATATTTATTAGCTTCAACTGTTTATTAGTCCACATTTAACCTTTATATAGTTTATGTGAAAATTTCAGACCCCTACCATTAAATTACTTTCTGAGATAGCACCCCTGTAGCTGTGACATAAATATGACACTTTTTTTGGGTGTCTTATTAGATGGTACCCAAATCTCTCTCTCTCTTTGTAATTGCAATGATAGAAGAAGGTTCTAAAAAAAATGGACAGCAAATATGAGACACCACTATCAGAAGTCTCTTATAACCTCATCCCTGCCCCTATGATGGAGTAGATGTGTATATATCTGATTGTTGATATTTCATATTATATAATATTGGTAGCAGTGGACAATTTCTGTTACCTCTGTATTGTGCTCTGCCAATTGCAACACTTGAATTACTTTATTGTATATATACTGTTCGACACTTTTTATTATGATAGAAGAAGGTTTAGCGATTTCTGAGATGCCATTTCCTTGGAGTTTGTTCAATTTTTGTTTGCATGTCGCCATTTTCAAATTGTGATGGACCTGACTGTGACGGACGCACGTTTTTTCCCAATTTTTCCAAATCTTCTACTCTAGGAAGTCGAAAGCTCTAATTGAGATGTATTTTAGTAATTATGCATTTCATTAACTAGAATTATAATACAATCATTCACCAGGGACAGAATTGTCAATGTTACTGCTACGATACTTTTTGTTTTTGACACCTGTGGTCAAATCAATATATATTGGTTACATGGCTAAACGAAAAGGACATAATTCTTCAGAAATCGAAAGGTTGAAATCTCTAATCTTTGCGGATGGCAAAATAGCACCCTTCTATGTGAGTTGAAAACAAATTTTCCCAAGATTTTTTAGAATATATTTCGAAATTATGAATTTTGTTAGGTCCAAATCGAGTTTTAAATACTAGACTGATCCAAGGGCAGGTATTTATTTCAGAGCACTTAGGGGTTGTCACATATTATGTAATCAACCGTTCCAAATTATTACGCTAGTGTAATTTTGACACAATAGCTGTGTAAAACTGATTACGGAGGGAGGGGGGGGGGGGGTAAAAATTGCCAAAAAATTGATTACTTAATATGTGAACGACCCCTTGGCCCTTATCAATGGAAATAATTGGTCAAGTATGAAATGTTCCAAATGTGTACCCCCTAACGCCCCCTAGTGCACCCGTAACACAAATAGAATAAAAATATGTTTGTTGGGGACTGGCCCAAGTGCCAGCCAATGTTTACTGAAAATGTGTAATATGACAATATTATAATATATCTCATGAAATATTCAATTCCGAATGAAACCTAAATAATAATCATAAGACCTGAGTGAGACCTGGCCTGCTTTGCAATTGCTATTTAGCAGTGGGAGCTAGACAGATTGTCACATAAGTATTATAACTATACTAACCAACATACCTTTCCACTAAAATAAACATACTGAAACCTATTACTCTCTTATCCTGCAGTTCCACGGCTCAGTTTTGCAACCAGATTTGCCAGATTTTTTCTCACATTTTTGCGACCGGAAAAGAAATTCAAAAATATTTCTCCGCACAGAACCAGAGAAAATCTGGTTGCAAAACTGAGCCGTGGAACTGGGCTTTTCCTCTGTATGCAAGAGTGGAAACACCAAAAAAGATAACACACGTACAAGTTACACACATGGAAATACAGGGTGGGCCAAAGAATAAAACAAATATTCAGAATAAAACAAAAATACAAAAATACAACAAAAAAAGTCAGTACCCATACGTTGGCTTTATAGCTCAGTCACTGAGTGCCCAATTGAAATATGTTATGATTTAGTACCACCACTGCACTGGTTCGAGGAATTTGTCAACTTGAAAAATATTGATGTTGAGCAACACATACTTTGTCATTTTTGATATAATATTAAGAACGCTTAGTCAAGTCCTTTTTGATCAGCTGTTTCATTTCTGGGACAAGTACTTGTGAAAGCGTTTAATCGACCTGCGACCACACGATACTCAAAGATTCACGATCGATCTGACTGTACCTCTTATCCGTCTCTGTGAGTCTTCTAGAAATAAATTCTATGGGTCTATCTACTCCGTTCTTGTCCACATGTGATATGACAGCACCTAGTCCGTACGAACAAGCATCACAATCTACTCTAACTGGTAACTGTGGATCATAGAATATCAATACATCGTGAGACATCAACCTCTCCTTGAGTTGGTCAAAACATCTCTTCTCAACTTGATCGAACTTCCACTCGGCAGTCCTTAGCCGATTTGACGGTTATTAACTCGACATATCTTTCAGGAACCGGCTGTAGTACTGTACAGCTCTCAGAAATGAAACTAGCTCTCCAACATTCTGTGGATATGCTGCCTTATATAGGGCCTCAACTTTATTTCTATAATGTCTCACTCCTTCTTTACTGATCTCATAACCCATCACTTTATCTCTGAAGAAACTCTGATTTGTCCCTAGTCTGCTGATTTGTCCCAGATCTACGCTTGAAGAAACTCTGATTTGTCCCAGATCTACGCTTGAAGAAGCCGCTTTTCTCTAGTCTGCTGAGCACCTCCATCAACGTGTTAACATGCTCTTCCGTAGTCGTCTCCGTAATTAAAATGTCATCTACACAACAGGTTACGTGCTCCAGTCCTTTAAGGGTCCTGTCCATGACTGACTGGAAGATCCCACTGACTGAGTTAATACAATAGGGTAGCACTAACGGTTTATAGAGACCTTGGTGAGTATTAATCGTTCCTAAGATCTGGTCACGCTCTCTTAGTAGAAGCGAGTTATAAGCCTGTTTAATGTCGATCCTGGAAAATTTTGTTCCTCCTTTCATTCCAACAAAACAATCCTCGACTGAGGGTAAAGGGTAAATTCTCATATCTAAACTCGGATTCACAGTGCGCTTATAGCTTTATAGTCACCACATAACCTCAAGGTCTTGTCATTCTTCCTTACAGCGACGACCGGTGAAGCCCAGGGGCTTGAGTCCACGGGAGCATTATAGTCTCCAACCTTAACTAATCTGTCTAGCTCCGCCCCGACTTCATCTCTCTCTGCATATATGCAACTGGTCTCGCTTTACAAAACTTAGGCTTAGCTTCAACCTTAAGATCAAGACAAGCCTCGTGATCCGTAACTTTACCCATTCCTGGTTGGAACGAAGGATTTGATTTGAGCTTATCTATTAGTTTCTCTCTCATTTGCTCAAATGTCTCGACATGCTTCACTTCAACCAGACGGTTAAACCACTCTCGACCTAATAATACGTCCTGGATCCAATCTCTCCCTAACAGCGTCGGAAAGTTGGAGTCAACTACACGTAACGTGAGTTTATGCTCTTGGGTTTTAAATCTGACAAATACTGAGGTATTCATATTTCATGGATTCAATCGACTGCCCGTTAGCTACAACCAGGTTACTACACTTGATTTGATTTGAAACTTTTACAAATAGTATATTATACAATACAGCAAAGAGAATTAAAAATATACGACATAATTATCATGAGGCATTTTGTTGGGTAAAAGTTGTAGTCCATATTGTATAAATACTAAAAGCATGGTTAAATGGTACAAGTTCTGGGGGTATACGTATTACAAGTAAGTTCTACTCCCAGACTCACTAACACCACCTCCATCTAAACACACAAAATGTATCTAAAACACGCAAATTTAGAATTATCAAAATAAATAGTATAGTTTTACATAATGTGTCCATGACTTGACTCATAATGCGCCAAAAATTGCGCGCGTATCATCACACAGCGCTTAGAAGCAAGATTACAGTCGGATATAAAGTTCGCGTAATCCAGTTAAGTAGATTCGCTGAGGACTGCACCAGGGTCAAATCATGGCAACAGAACGTAAATGTTATTTAATAGATTTATTTTTATATTATAGTTGTTATATTCAGTATCGTGACCGATCTATCAGTGGCGGGGGCCCACTTATAAATATCATTTGCACTCATTAACTTAGTCAGGGTCTGTCAATTTGTCCCAAAAGTGTTTTGCCAGGTTTGCCTTAAAGGTTCCAGCATCACTTATCTCTTTAAGGTCAGTTGGCAGGTCATTCCAGACACTGTGTGTTCTGAAGAAGAAGCTTCTCTTAAAGGAGTGAGCTTTTGCTTCCACAGTACACTTCAGGGAATAAACCGTAGAGTTCTTTTCATTAGACCTAGATCTTTTCGATTTGACTCGTAGTTTTTCTTTTTTGAGACACAGCTGATAAGTGTCAGAGTCAAACCAGGGCGGCTGATCCTTATCTGATATCGTAATAGTTGGGATTCGGTTGTGTATGTGATGGAACAGGATTTTCTTAAAACGGAACCATCCTGTTTCTGCATCACAGTAAAGCTAACTTACAACCTACAAGGTTCAAACGGTTAAACAAGTTTAAGCTCATACAAGAAATCTCGGAGCCTGTATCGACTTCTATCTCGACACATCTGCCAGCATGGCAGTTTAACATAATACTTGTTACCTTTCTTAAAGTGATCAACACTATTTGCTGAACCAACGGACATTGAAGATTCACAACTACTACTTACATCAACAGACAGGACCGGTAAAATCAATTACCACAAATAAAATTGACCTCACTGCACTGAGTGAGTCGCTACTGTTGTTCAAATCACAGTCCATATGAAATACATACTCATTAGGTAGTTGCGATGGTGGCACTTGAAACAGTTCGCCTTCACATGCCCTGTCTTCTTGCAGTTGCGATGGTGGCACTTGAAACAGTTCGCCTTCACATGCCCTGTCTTCTTGCAGTTGCAGTAATGGCACTTGAAACAGTTCTCCTTCACATGCCCTGTCTTCTTGCAGTTGCAGTAGTGGCACTTGAAACAGTTCTCCTTCACATGCCCTCAGTCCTGTCTTCTTGCAGTTGCAGTAGTGGCACTTGAAACAGTTCTCCTTCACATGCCCTGTCTTCTTGCAGTTGCAGTAGTGGCACTTGAAACAGTTCTCCTTCACATGCCCTGTCTTCTTGCAGTTGCAGTAGTGGCACTTGAAACAGTTCGCCTTCACATGCCCTGTCTTCTTGCAGTTGCAGTAGTGGCACTTGAAACAGTTCTCCTTCACATGCCCTGTCTTCTTGCAGTTGCAGTAGTGGCACTTGAAACAGTTCTCCTTCACATGCCCTGTCTTCTTGCAGTTGCAGTAGTGGCACTTGAAACAGTTCTCCTTCACATGCCCTGTCTTCTTGCAGTTGCAGTAGTGGCACTTGAAACAGTTCTCCTTCACATGCCCTGTCTTCTTGCAGTTGCAGTAGTGGCACTTGAAACAGTTCTCCTTCACATGCCCTGTCTTCTTGCAGTTGCAGTAGTGGCACTTGAAACAGTTCTCCTTCACATGCCCTGTCTTCTTGCAGTTGCAGTAGTGGCACTTGAAACAGTTCTCCTTCACATGCCCTGTCTTCTTGCAGTTGCAGTAGTGGCACTTGAAACAGTTCTCCTTCACATGCCCTGTCTTCTTGCAGTTGCAGTAGTGGCACTTGAAACAGTTCTCCTTCACATGCCCTGTCTTCTTGCAGTTGCAGTAGTGGCACTTGAAACAGTTCTCCTTCACATGCCCTGTCTTCTTGCAGTTGCAGTAGTGGCACTTGAAACAGTTCTCCTTCACATGCCCTGTCTTCTTGCAGTTGCAGTAGTGGCACTTGAAACAGTTCTCCTTCACATGCCCTGTCTTCTTGCAATTGCAGTAGTGGCACTTGAAACAGTTCTCCTTCACATGCCCTGTCTTCTTGCAGTTGCAGTAGTGGCACTTGAAACAGTTCGCCTTCACATGCCCTGTCTTCTTGCAGTTGCAGTAGTGGCACTTGAAACA